ATTGACTGACAGAATCTCCTTCGACCCCCCCCCCCCCAGGAGAGTTGACACAGGGGGAGCTGTATTCAGCCATCAAGAAAGAGAAGGAGCAGACAGAGGGAGGAGATTCCAGCACCACACACTTCAGTGGAGAGATGCACTTCTATGAATTAGTGGAAGACACTAAAGATGGGATCTGGCTGGTTCAGGTAAAAGCCCTCCTTAGTATTCTATTCAAACCTGTAGCAATGATGCACGATGAAGTGGGCATGGCGAGGCAGGAAAATCGCAATGTCTTTAATCAAACAATTTATCTACATTTTCACCTTGTTCGCCACTAGATGGCCCAGGGTATTTTCTGATCTGAAGATCAGGCATTTGCATTCCCAGTGTAATAGCAGCTGGCTAAGCTAAGGATGTCAGTGAGAGTTTATTCACAAGTCACTGATCGGTCTGTAGCAGCTGTCAAATCAGTTTGTGAATTACATTATTTTAATCCTTACTGTAGCTTTAAATACCATAAGCAAAACTAAGTTATATAGATGTGTTCAGGAGCAGTGATGACACATGCTGTATATGCAGGTTCATGAGCTTAATGCTGAGTATATAAGGATAAATATGTTGAGGATTGTTTGCACACTCAAATGTACTTTTAACCATCAGTAGTAGCAGTCATGTTTGTACTGGCCCTCTACATCAGGCCAGTGTGTTTTATGGACATTTAAAGCAAAGCACAACTTTATTTATATTGTAAAACAAGAATATTTAGAGAGTACATGTACCTCGCTCACACAAATGGGTCCCTTGTGAAAAATACGATCCAGAACAACACAAAATGTGTCCTAAAATACTTGATCAGGATCATCTTTTAGGGTGTAACAGGTAATTATATATGTGCATCTTACCTGAACATTTCAGGGTTCTATCTTCATTATTGGCCAAGTGGTGGTATTCTCATGTTTATTTGTTTTGTTTGCATTGGAACGACACAAAAAAGCCAAATCTGATCCATTCCACACAGAACTCCAAAAATGGACTGGACAGAATTACTGACACCTTTTCAAAATCATCAGAAATAGTTGTACTGTGATTCTCCTTTAATTTGTAATGAAACTCATCTGTAGCAATCAACAGGTGCCGGCAACATAGAAATCACACTTGCAACCAGTTAAAATGGAGAAAGGATTGTTGACCTGCAGGAACAGGGTGCAACAGTGTCAGCTCGCACTATCCATCACCATCTGAATGTCAAGGTAGGCTATGGTAGGAGACCCAGCGGGACCCCACTGCTGACATAGAAACCTAAAAAAAAAACATGAAAAAGCAGTCTAAAATAAAATATATGAATCACAAGCAAGTAATAGTACCTAAAAACTTTAAGTACAAGTGTCTTCGGCACAGGAATGAGGCAGGATGTCTTCCACAGCACAGGGATCGTTTGGAGATCTAGGCTCATGTTGAAGACCTACTGAAGGACACCTCCCAGCTGAGCAGCCTGGGGCTGACACCAGCAGGGCCAGCATGGGGTCCCTTCAGCCATTTACTCTCCTGGTCAGCTGTGAAGTGCATCGTTGTAGTTACCTTTGGCATTGTTCCCTTGAAGGGGACAGTCGGTAAAAGTGCCCATGGGGGGAGGAGTAAAACCCACTTTGTTTTCTACCTCCATGATGCACGTGCTTCTCGTTGATGACGTTGCTCGGAAACTCATCTCTCTGGCTAATGTCCAGACCGCCGTGCAGCATCATGGTGTGGGGGTGCTTCTCGGCAGCAGGGGACAGGGAGATCGGTAAGAACTGAGGGATTGATGAGGATACACAGGCTCAGAAAACAGTTCACCTTTCAACACGACAGTGGCCTGTAGCATACAGCCAAAGCAGCGCTGGAGTGGCTTCAGGCAAAGTCTCCGCTTGTCCTTTGAGTGACACACCCAATCTCACAGACCTTGAGAGGATCTGCCATGATGAATGGGGGAAACGGCCCAAATCGAGGTGTGCGAAACTTGCACAGATGTACCCAAGAAGCCTTGCAGCTGTAATTTGCTGCTACCAGGTACTGAATGAAGTGTCTGAATACTTTTGAGAGTAAGAGATTTCAGATTTTGTTTCATGATTCATTTTTAGACCATAGTTTCTCTGTGTCATCATGCTTTTTAAGGGTATAATGAAGAATAGAAATGACAGTGGTATCCATTCAAAACTGAATCCACACCACAATAAAATGTGCAAAAAGTAAAGGAGTCTGAATATTTTGAGTCCATTGTATATGTGTTATATCACATGTATGTAGAGTACAGTGCTTTTAATGTAGTAAATCCTGTTATATTTGAAAAAATACTGATGTTCCATGTCAAGAAAGTACTCTGTCTTCATTACATTGTTAATAAATCTGGTCAGAATTATAACTAAATTCCAATAATTTAACAATTTTTTAAATAATTTTATGTTAATTAGTATTCAAAAATTTACAGTTAATCATTTATAAGACTAACTTTGTGACTGATCTTAATACGGTGCTTGCACCTACACAACCTCTTTGAAGAAAGAGTACATAATATTGTTAATACAGAGACTAATAGGAATTCAGATGAAGAACGGTGCCAGCAAATTGTTTCCTAAAACATTTTCACTTGCAAATTGCATAAAAGTTTTATGAAGGGGATATAAAGAGCTGATAGGATGTCAGCACAAAATGGCATGTATAAAGTGCTAAGAAGAAGGGGTTTCATGTCACTTGACAGATTTCTTTTGTATTATCTGTCTGACCCGCGTTTGTCCCTGTGTGTCTCTGCAGGTCATTGCTCGGGACCGGGAAGCTCTGCTCAGTCCTTCCAGCTGGGGGAAAATGGTGCAGAAAGTGTCTCAGTTTGGGATCAGAACTGGAACCTTCAATTGCTCCAATGACTACAGGTGGGCTGCTTGGCCTTTCTCAAATGCATCTGCATTTTTCATTTACTGTATATCACGGCACACACTGACATGAGACAAGTCAAAGCCTTTGCACCAGCTGTCCTAGCAGGGCAATGAGGTTTCTTCTTTTCAAAATGTTCTCCTCTTTTTTTTCTGCATTTCTGCATGTTCATGTCAATAAAATGCTATTTAAACAGTATTAAAGATGAAAACAGGTCAAATGTCACTTCCACCATCATAAATCCTGAATGCACCATGCAGTTGCACTGAGATTTGAGGATGTGCAGATATTGACTGTATGTCTGCCATATTTGTTGATGGTGCTACAGCGTCATCGTTCGTTTGAAAGGTGATACCCAACCAGCTTCAAATCCGATGCTGCCGGCCGCCATTTGCTAATCATTAATGGCTTTGGTAACGGTAATCTTTTATGGCATCGGCAGTGTCAAACTTGTTAGACGTGTTTGTAAAGATCATGGTCCACTTGATCAAAAGTGCATGTTTATCATTGATTAGTTCAGCTCAGCAGTTGCTGATTTTCACTTGAGACCTGACCAGAGCACTTTCCGTACAGATAATCACAGGCATGGTGTGTAGCAAGGCTTCTAAGCAGAGTATATACAGATTATATACAGTGCCTTGCGAAAGTATTCGGCCCCCTTGAACTTTGCAACCTTTTGCCACATTTCAGGCTTCAAACATAAAGATATAAAACTGTAATTTTTTGTGAAGAATCAACAACAAGTGGGACACAATCATGAAGTGGAACGAAATTTATTGGATATTTCAAACGTTTTTAACAAATAAAAAACTGAAAAATTGGCCGTGCAAAATTATTCAGCCCCCTTAAGTTAATACTTTGTAGCGCCACCTTTTGCTGCGATTACAGCTGTAAGTCGCTTGGGGTATGTCTCTATCAGTTTTGCACATCGAGAGACTGAAATTTTTGCCCATTCCTCCTTGCAAAACAGCTCGAGCTCAGTGAGATTGGATGGAGAGCGTTTGTGAACAGCAGTTTTCAGTTCTTTCCACAGATTCTCGATTGGATTCAGGTCTGGACTTTGACATAGCCATTCTAACACCTGGATATGTTTATTTGTGAACCATTCCATTGTAGATTTTGCTTTATGTTTTGGATCATTGTCTTGTTGGAAGACAAATCTCCGTCCCAGTCTCAGGTCTGTTGCAGACTCCATCAGGTTTCCTTCCAAAATGGTCCTGTATTTGGCTCCATCCATCTTCCCATCAATTTTAACCATCTTCCCTGTCCCTGCTGAAGAAAAGCAGGCCCAAACCATGATGCTGCCACCACCATGTTTGACAGTGGGGATGGTGTGTTCAGGGTGATGAGCTGTGTTGCTTTTACGCCAAACATAACGTTTTGCATTGTTGCCAAAAAGTTCGATTTTGGTTTCATCTGACCAGAGCACCTTCTTCCACATGTTTGGTGTGTCTCCCAGGTGGCTTGTGGCAAACTTTAAACAACACTTTTTATGGATATCTTTAAGAAATGGCTTTCTTCTTGCCACTCTTCCATAAAGGCCAGATTTGTGCAGTATACGACTGATTGTTGTCCTATGGACAGAGTCTCCCACCTCAGCTGTAGATCTCTGCAGTTCATCCAGAGTGATCATGGGCCTCTTGGCTGCATCTCTGATCAGTCTTCTCCTTGTATGAGCTGAAAGTTTAGAGGGACGGCCAGGTCTTATCATTAGTCATTTAGGTCAACATTGGATCATTCAGAGATCCTCACTGAACTTCTGGAGAGAGTTTGCTGCACTGAAAGTAAAGGGGCTGAATAATTTTGCACGGCCAATTTTTCAGTTTTTTATTTGTTAGAAAAGTTTGAAATATCCAATAAATTTTGTTCCACTTCATGATTGTGTCCCACTTGTTGTTGATTCTTCACAAAAAATTACAGTTTTATATCTTTATGTTTGAAGCCTGAAATGTGGCAAAAGGTCGCAAAGTTCAAGGGGGCCGAATACTTTCGCAAGGCACTGTACATGGTCACACTCATATCACCAACTAGCAGCACCTGGTGCTAATGACAAATACTCTGCCAGGGTTTCAGTAAGACCACCCCCCTGGTGGGTAGGGGTTTACAACATAAAGTACAAACACTCCCAACTGTTTTTCTGTCATTTTTGACAAGGAAATTTAATTTCACAGTACCCGACTGGGAAAAGGGCATTCAACTGCATACTCTATGGTAGTGTGTCCACCTAAACTGAGACCAAGTCATAACCAAGACCAGACCAGTGCAGCACCTGCATTGCATGACACATTTATGATAAAATGTGGAACATGCAAGCGG